CCCCCAGGTCAACATCAACAGAACCCCTCTTCTTCCCTGCCTCTGTTCCATGCAACTGATCTCTGTCTGCTTGAGTTTTGTTTTGTCTTTTGCATCCAGAGGCCTCTGGAACACATTTCTACATGAAGATCTTCTCTTCCTGCTCACAACGTTAGTGCAAAGCTTCAAACCAATGGGCTAGATGTGATGCTGCTAAGAGCAGTATTTCTCTAACTTTGTTTTCTGAGATAAGGTTAATCACATCTTCTCCTAAAATGCTTGGAGTTTTGTGGTCTACAATGGTTTATGCTTATTCCACCGACAGAGCTTTCGTTGCATTAAAAATGCAAATAAAATGGATCAGTTAATTATAGATACACCAAAGGTAGAATAATAGAAAGAACTTAATAATTTCCCACATTCTTTCTAAAACTAATTTATTATGAGAGAAATATATGTTCCCTTTCTAAATTAAATGATGTAAAATGTGGGGCTGGAGAGAAGGCTCAGTAGTTAAGAGCACTTGCTGCTCTTCCAGAGAATCAAGGTTCACTTCCCAATGGTCACATCAGGTGGCTCACAATCCCACGACACTACAGCCTCAGGGAACCAATGCTCGTTTTTGTGCTCCATAGACACCCACATACACATAAACAAAATAAACACAAGTCTTTTTGAATGTCTTCATGATAAACCATAAAGTCAGCATCATCTAACCTTGGCTTGGGTTGAAAAACCCGACAGAGACACCATCAAGAAAAACTTACCTGATAGACTGTGGTGGCTTTTCAGAAAGCTCTAGGCCGCCCTCTTTTACTGCAAAGAGAAAGGAGGAAAGGGTTCTGGTGACTTGGAGGGAAGAGGTGGTGCTATGTGCGTTCTTTCCAAAGCCTCTATAAAATCACAGTATAGAGATTTAAAAAAAATCATTGCATACAACATCGACGAAGTCGAAGAAAAATGACAAGAAAGAATGTCAAGATGGAAAGCAGATGTCAAATGGCAGCCGTGTTGGCAGGGCCTGGGAAGCTGAAACCTAACTGTGCCACGAGGAAAGGCCCACAGACAGCAAGCGGAGCTGTGCTCCAGACAGAACTCAGGGTCCAAAGGTGCCAGGTAACTCTGAGAAGAGAGGCCGAGGGGAGGGGGTCGAGCACAGACCTGCACTTCCCACCCTTACCCCAGAGAACCACATGGATTCCCTGCCCAGAATGGAGGCAGGATGCTCACCCCGAGAGACAGTCGTGGAGACTCAGGGCTGAACAGCAGTGTGGAGGACGGACAGTGGGGAGAAGGAAAGACTCCTCCTCTGAGGGACTGCGAAGGAGATGTTCAGACACAGGGGAAAAAAAAAACAAAACAAACCAGACTTTATCCCAGTGAGAAAAACAAAGATAAAAGCTTCAGAAATTCCTGAAGGAACTGAAGGGTACTGGGAAAGATCAGGGGGAATAGAAAGACACACCATGACACGGAGAGACAAGCAGAACACACTACAGCTGCCTTGGCATTGGTCCCTGGTGGAGGAGGGGACGCCGAAGGCCTAGAACAGACAGGCAGGCCTACCTTCAAAACAAGCCCACAGTTCCCACAAGCCTCAAATCTAGTTGCAGGTGTTGGCGAGACAGGGATTCCTTGGAGTAGAGTCAGTGGAAGAGAGATTCCATTTTGTCATGCAGCAGCTGGGCCTTTCTATTGTTAACAACTGAGTGACCTGAGGGCCTGAGATTAGGGAACGCCCACAGGTTGGAAAGATTCTTAGTGGCCTGTCACGGCCCCTGGGGGAGGGAAGACACAGAGAAGCAGCGGAGAGCACCAGGGCCAGACTTGACAGATAGGTGCAGGCAGCAGGAGAGGAGCTCAGGCTGGGACGAGAAGGAGGAGGAGGGGGAGGAGGAGGGACAGCCTGACCCCTGGAGTCTAGGAACACAAGTCATCAACTAAGAAGGCCTTGGAGCTTGGTGGCTTTGAGCCTGAGGTCAGGAGAGGGTCAAATTCTGGAGTCATGCAGTTGTCATTCAGGGGGTGGAGCCTGAGAAGTCCCAGTCCGTAGCAGCTTTCCCCAGCAGAGAAACCAACACTCAGGAAGCCCTGAAAGTCCAAAGGCGGGTCCTCCGCCTGTTACACATCTTAGTGCCGCTGTCACTTCCTACGCTCTGAACATACGCGGGAGACACCCTTCGGCTAAAATGTCACCCAGGACAAGGCCACTCATGCTAAACCTACCCATTGCTCCCAAGCAGTTCTTCTGTCAACTAGGGAGCCTCCGAGGGCCATTCTCATTCAAACCACAGCCCCCATACAATTTTCTTTCTCTCCCCCCCAAAATGTCCTTTACCATCCTCCACATTCTCTCTCCTCTCATGCACTGACTTCCCGCCCCCGCCCAGCTTTCCGCTCCCCGCATCTCAGTCATTCACTGTTCCCACCCCGAACTCATTTCTAACGTCACAGCATATGCTACAGGAGTTTTGTCGCTTTGAGTTTTGTGGCCAATGGTGCATATTAGTGAATTGCAATCAATTTTAAGTGTCATAGATTTGCCTAGCTCCTTGCTGGGCAAATACTTGACAAAAGCAACTTGAGAAAGGAATGATTTGGTTTGGCTCACAGTTTGAAAACACAGTCTGCTGTGGCAAGGAAGGCAAGAAAGAAGAAGCTGGAGACAGCAGCTCACATCGCAACCAGTCACCTAGCAGGGGCACCTCACGCTGCATCCACAGTCACTAAGCAGAGAGTGATGAACGCTGGTACTTAGCTCTTATTCTTCTTCCTTTTATTCACTTCAGCAGTCAGGGGAGTTTTTCCCACCTCAATTAGCCTACACTACAAAATCTTTCACAGATAAGCCTAGAGATTTGTCTCTGAGGTAATTGTAGATCCTGTCAAGGTGACAACACACCCCCCCCCCCCGCAGGTACACATAGACACGTGTGTATGCCTGCAGATTTATGCACACGTAGGCATACACACATATAAATACATCACCACAGTGTCTTTCCATGTCTTGTTGGTTGATGTTGCTGACGCAGGGGTTTATCTCCTGCTAGTTGAGCATCATTGGGGATTCAGTTTCCAAGAGTACGTTTTAACTAACCAACCAATACACATACGGTGAGCCACACATGCACGAAACTAGAAACGGCAATTTATTTATTTATTTATTTATTTATTATGTATACAATATTCTGTTTGTATGTATGCCTGCTGGCCAGAAGAGGGCACCAGATCTCATTACAGATGGTTGTGAGCCACCATGTAGTTGCTGGGATTTGAACTCAGGACCTTTGGAAGAGCAGGCAATGCTCTTAACTGCTGAGCTATCTCTCTAGCCCTAGAAATGGTATCTTGACTCCTTCAGAAGTCCTTAACTCCTCGGTCCCTGCTGAAGTAAGGAAGATTTCGGGGGGAAATTTCAAAGATTTTATGTAAAAGTGATCAATGACCTAAGAGAGGGTGCAAACAAGTGGGTGAATTCAATCCAGACATAGAGAAGAAAGTCAGCAACAGAGAAGAGAGTGTCAGAAATATGGGTGAGAAATAAGCATATGTTTGAAGAAAAAGTCAGTAATATGGAAGAAAACTTCATGTTTTCTTGAGATTAAGATTTTAAAAAAGAAAGAGTTTGAAAGTGGAAAAAAATCAATGAATCAACATCATTTCTCTGGAAAACATCAATAGACTCAACCAAGCAGAAGAAAGAATGTCAAGACAGGTAGATGAAACACTGCACCAACAAGAAAAGTATCAAATGGGATGTGACAGAATGACCATGACATCCATTGATGCAGTCAGAGACAAAACCAGGCCAATGAGATGCTCGGTTGTCAAGGGTGTTTCCCACTCAAGCCTGGAGTCCTGGGTTTGATAGATGGGCAGAACCTACATAAAGGTGGATGGAGAGAACCAACCTCACGAAGTTGTGCCCCGACCTCCACATGCATTCAGCGGCCTGTGTGTGTTGACACTGTACGCCCCACAATAATAATAAATGAAACTGAAATCGAGAAAAGACTAAGAATACAAAGAATAGAAAGATGCATAGAGAATTGTCAAAGAAATGGTTACAGGAAATTTCCCAAAACCAGAGAAAGAAAAACACATTTGAACACAAGAAGCATTTAGTCTCCAAAACAGACATGACCAGAGAAGAACTTCACAATGTATTATAGTCAAGATGTCAAAAATACAAAACAGAGACATAACATCAATAGCTGTAAGAGGGTGATACTACAGAGGCCAAACATCAGATCTCTCCATGACACATTTCAATCTTTAAAAATAATTGCCAACTGTCTTGGTTAGGGTCTCTATTGCTCTGAAAAGACACTATGACCACAGCAACTCTTTTAAGGGAAACCATTTATTGGTGGCTTACAGTTTCAGAGGTTTAGTCCATTATCATCACGTTGTGACACGGTGGTGTGCAGGCAGACGTGCTTGTGAGGTAACTGAGACTCTTACATCTTGACTTGCAGGAGACAGGAAGTGGTCTCCCTCATTGGGTGTGGCTTGAGCATAGGGAACCTCAAAGCCCATCCCCACGGTGACATACTTCCTCAACAAGGCCACACCTCCTATTAGTGCCACTCCCTGTGGGGGCCAGATTCCTTTAGACTGCCACACGAACCAAGATCACTATATCCATCAGTGTTATCAAAAAAAAATTCAGACATTTCAAGACAAATCCAAATAAAGCAGTTTGTGGTCACTAAGTCAGCACTGCTGATGGTACTAAAAGGAATTTTATAGAGAGAGGACTGAGCGAGACAATCTTCATTATGAGAGGATGGCATAGATGGGTTTCAGGAGGAGAATGATGGAACAAAGAAAAGCTGGGGGAATCCATCAAGACTCACACAGTAAGGCAGCAAACCCTTGGCACTAATAGGAAAAAACATAAAAAACAAGCAATAATTCAACCAGGAAAACAGTCAGCAAATTACAGAAATTAGTAAATCTTTCTATATAATCACACAAAATGTAAATGGCTTCAGCTCATCGATAAAGACACATAGACTGACTGAATTAAAAAAGCTAAATGCAAACTTCTGCTGTCTCTGAGACACACACCTCACTGGAAGACACCCATCAGCTGAAAAAATCAGAGATCAGAAAGAAATCCAACAAGTGAACAGAAGCTAAAATTCTCTTGCATGGCAGTCTGATGGCTGATAAAGTGACTTCAGATTGAAATGAGTCAGAGAGATAGAGACTGGGAATATGCATTACTAAAGGAGACAACCCATCAAGAATATATAACAATTGTCAATACATATGTACTAAACTATGTGATATGTAGTTTTATAAGATAAACACCAATGGATGCAAAGCATAGATGGGTGCTGATGCAGTAATAGTGGATGATTTCATTATTCCATTCTTCTCTCTAGATTCATTCCAACTTAAAATCAACAAGTGAAACCCCAGAGTTAACCTGTACTCTAGGTCAAACAGACTAACAGTTACAGAATATTTTATCCAATGGAAACAATATCCTTCTTTTCTCAGCAGCCTATTGAACTTTCTGTAAGTATGTAGATCATATTCTAGGCGGAAAAATCAAGCTTCACCAAATACAAAGCAGTCAAAATAATCTCATAAATTATTAAATTATAGTACAGTAAAATCAGAAATCAATAGCAAGAAACCTGCAGAAACGACACAAATAAATGGAGATTGAACAATACATTCTCTAAAGGACCAGTGAGTCATTGAAGAAACAAAACAAATTCTAACTGAAAAGCATCAGATGGCAAGAAATAATGAAGATTATGGAAGAAATTAATGGAAAAAAAAGAATAATGTATAGATTC